TATAATGTATAATGAGGCTTTCTTGATGAATCTATTGCTAATTAAATATCCGGTTGCGAGAATCGCGCGCAGATATTTTAATAAATTAGAATATTTTGGCAACCGATACAAAATCGATATAATCACGTATGGATTTATATGATAGCTTTTCGGTAACGACTTTTCTTCAAGTTTCGAATTGGTTACAGAATTAAATTTCAATTACAGTATGATATATTCGGCAAATGGGGTTGAAAGTGCTGCAAGAGTCCTGCGGTACTTCTTGTAGTAACCAACTAAAGTTCTCAGGAGCAGCTGAAAATTTTGGCAGAAGAGGACTCGGAAATACTTGCTCGACATCGACCGGCGCTTTCCGCGCAAAGCTCAATTCATAATTATACTATTTGCATAAATTTGCATGTTTCCGTGCAAACTAAAACTTTCACCCCCACCCTAATCAGAGCCAACCTAACCAAACCTAAGCGAACCGAACCTCACAAAGCTAATTCCGGGTTTGAGAATGTACGCTCAAAACGAAGCGTTTTCCCCACAAAAACCCAAAGTTCTCCTTTGAAAGCTTGTGCATATACATCTCTTTTACAGCTTGTTTTGTTGATTACTGCAAAAAATACCGCAGTTCTTGATGCACTTTCAAATATTTACCGTATATTTTCAGGAAACGCTAGGCGAGGCGGTAATATCAGATGCAAGCCTCGCTGCTTGCCTCACTTTTTGGTCGCCTTCCATCATCAATATCGCATATCAAGGTCCGCCAAGTATCGACAGGCATCTATTTTACCATACTCGCGCATGTTTCCAATAAAGTAAGAGGGAAAAAGAATAAAATAAATAGTACTTTCTTCTAAATGAACATCGCTATTCCGCAATTTCCAAATGAAAGTCCCCCTCGAGCGGAGAAAAACCGCGCAGTGTGCGGAGCGTAATTTCGTAGTCGGCCGTTTCGGCAAATTTTCCGCGAGTATCCGTAAATTATTATCAGCGAAGGATCGAACTACCGGTTGACCGAGGGACCAAAGCAAAAATCCCGAGCGCCCGAATTCGCGGCGGAATTTTCGCGACAAATTAGCTTCCCGGGAGACACGACGGCGCAAAATGGTGTTCATCATAACGCGCGGCTCGCGCGTGCGCGCGCACGGAAGTCCCGAAATAATTAAATTTAGCTGATACAGCAACCGTTGATCCGTTCCCTGCGGACAGCCGGCAATTTATCAGGGGACCACGTGGCGCTTCGTTTCGTTCGTTAAAATCGCGCGACCCAATAAACGGAGAATTACCGTCGTCGAAGCCGCGCGGTGAGACAACGAGTTCCGCTTCTGAAAACAAACACGGCGGCTCTTGTCGCTGGGCTCACGCCTCGCCCGGAGTCTCTCACCGAGTGCAAGGATGCCGCGCATCCTTCAGCGAGATGGATGAATTTTCCGCGAGCGTGCGATGTAATACTTAACTCGACGCGGACGCGCGCGCGCGCGAGAAGGGCGCATCTGCTACCCGCTCCTACATTAATCGCTGTCAGGCCGGCGCGCGTTGCCTCCATTAAGCGAATCCACGTACAAATGAACCGCTTCCAAGCGTGTAGCGCGACGTTAGGCGAGAAACGATATCGTTTATCGAGGACCGAGAAAAAACGGGAGACGGATGGCGTTTAATAACGGGCCGAAAGCTCGTGGCGCTAAACTATATCGCGGGCGCGCACTTTGCCTTGCGCTCCAGGGAAAAACCAGAGAGAGAGAGAGAGAGAGAGAGAGAGGCAACAAGAGGAAGAGGAGGAGGAGGAGGAGGAGGAGGAGAAAAAAAGAAGAAGAGGCAAATAATCAGGCAGTAGCTGTAGAGCTCTTGGCGCACTCAGGAATCATGTAATCTCCGCGGCAACGATTACTCCGGCGATCCCGCCTGGCGTTGTTTCATAAATTACCGCCGCACTAGTTTTATCAACGACGGTTCCTCCACCGACGCGTATAAATTTGCATGCAAATGAAGAGCGCGCGGAATTACGGAAAGTTTCTAATCTCTCGTGAAAAATGCAGTTGCCGCGCGGCAACTTCTTCTTCGCACGGGCCGCGCGAATCGAGGGAGGGGGGCACTGAAGAGGCACTGGATTTCGCGATGTTTTGAACACTTTTTTCGGGGTTGCTGCTCGCCGCGGCAGCAGGTGTCCAATGAGAGAGCTCGATCTCTGGCAATTTCTCACAGACATAAGTTCTCTCTCTCTCTCTCTCTCTCTCTCTCTCTTTCTGTCTCTCAGTGAACTACATCCAGGAAAAATGCCCAAACCATTTTCAAGCCCGGTGGTACACCATCTCGTCGCGCAAACACGCCGCGCCGCGACTCGAAGCACATTATCGATATTCCCTCCGATCGACGCCAATTTTCCAGCGAACTAGAGACAGAGGGAAAGGAAGAAAAAGAGAGAGGAGAGAGAGAGAGAGAGAGGCAGAGAGAGAGAGAGAGAGAGAGAATGACAACCGCGACCCTGATTGTAGGCTTAACGGCGGATCGCCGGAGATTTAATATCGGCCATAAATGCGGAACGAAAGCCGCGAAGAGACGTCGACATCCCTCGATATTCCGGTCGACTCGCGCGCGAATTGCCGCGGCAGCGCTGCCTTCTTATTTCTGGCACACCGCCTACCACCTCGGCTCGATACATCAGGAAAAATGGGAACAAGCGAAACGCCTGCCTCCCGCGCCCCTTCGTCCTCCCCTGACCTCTCCCCCTACTCGAATGAAGCCTACATTTCGCGACTCACCGACGCGACTCCTCGCCTTCTCCGGCCGCCCTCTCATTTCGCCGTTTTCTCGAGCATAACGACTTTCCAGCGGCGGGGAGATAAATTGGCTGTATGTAGTTCGCGCGCGGGATCGAGACTCACGGGGTCGAGCCGAACGATTTCGCCGGATAGATTTTAGATGGGACCATTTATCCGCGAGTCACCGAGAGATTCCTCCCTCCTTCCCACTCCCCCCTCCCGCCCTCGCGCGAGTTTCTCTCTCATGCGTGAAGGAAAATTTGCGCGCACAATGGAGCCGCTGGAAAGCTGGAAATCGGCAGGGGACTGTTTCGGAATATCTCTTTTCCAGATAAGAGACGCTGCAGCAGCGTCTCTCTTTGCCCTCCCCTTCTTTCTTTCTTTCTTTCTTTCGCGCGCGCTGTGTAAAAAAATATTTTACCGAGACGTGCTCGCTTGGCAAGAGAAAGCAATCTCAGGCACTCCGCCGAGAAACGGTATACAGGAGGAGCGATGAGCACGCATGTAAATAAAAGATGAACGCACGAGGTGCGAGGTGCGAACGCGAGGAGAGACGTGGGGAAAAAATAGAGAGGAAGAAACGCGATATATATCGGTAACGGCAGGGTGCACGATCGATGGCGGCGACTTGACCGGAGGAGCTCCCGACACACTCGGAATTTCTCATCGCGCCCGATACCTCTTCCGTTGCTAATCGCGTCCGAGGCATTCGACGGAATTAGGATTCGCACGTGAGCCCCGCCTAATTCCGAACGAGCGTAGACTTTTCCGACCACGCGCGCGACCAATTGGGACGCATTCACCTCGGCCATACGTGGGTGGAAACTTTCAATGGACATGTAGGTGCGGCCGGTTATATAAGCCGAGAGCGTTACGCGTTTATGTTTATTCGACGTTTCCGGGATTCAGCTAGGGTTGCCAACTGTCCGCTTTTCACCCGGACTGCCAGGTTTTCAGAAGTCTTGGCCAGTGTCCGGTTAACAAGCCAAACCGGACGTCATGCACTGTAAAACTGTAAAAGGTATCGGAACATGTGTGTTAAAATTGAGTGTTTGTGTGTTATTTTGACACATTAGCTGGCGTTAAGGCACTAAGTGCGTCAAAATAATTCGTTTTCTGTGACAAAAGTGTGTTTTAATAACACACTACAGAAACGTGTTACTTCTCCTCAACAATTCCACGACACACGTAGAGCGTGTTATTTAGACACAGAATGATAGTCGAAATACACTGAGAACACACTCGGATGATATATTGGATAACGCACCAAGTCACGTAACACACTAATAATGTGTTCATGATAACACACTAATTTTGTTAACACACGTTTAAATGAACACACATATGTGTATTAAAAAAAAAATACATGTGAGAAAAACACAAATCGACAAAGTCGGCGATTACTCGCTTTCAAAAAAGTACTGTGTCTATTGAACAAATTAATGCAATAATAACATGCTTTTATATTATTACAGACTAAATCGCTATTATTAAATCAATTGATAATTCATCACAGCAGTTATATAATTTATTCATTCAAGCAAAATTAATTCATTAATTCATTCTCGTTAATTCAACTATTTTGTTTTCTTAATATATTTTTAAAGTTTATCATCGAGTACCTTAAAATAATAATAATAATAATAATAATAATAATATGTTAAATAACGCGTTAAAACGGAAGAAATGTGTAAAAAGGATTCATTCATTTACACGCTTATGCATTTCAAAATAACACACTTGGATTTGCAATGTTGTTCAATTCACCTTCATAACACACTTGAGGTATGTTATTTTGACATACCTTCATAACACATTTGAGATGTGTTATTTTAATATACTTTCATAACACACTGAAAGTGTGTTATTTTAATACACCTAAGCATTAACACACATACAAACGATTATATTTAACACGTATATAAATATGTTCTTTTAACATACATATATGTGTTAATTTAATTTGCTGATTTTGTATGACTAAAGTGGAGACATATTTTAACACGCTTCAAGCATGTTATTGTAACACACTTCAGTTTACAGTGTGTGTCCGGTTTTTAACTTATATCCAATCAATGGAATGAGAGTTCAGATTTTAGTAACGTTTTTCCGTTTCAAGCGCCTACAAACGATCGAGCGCCACGAAAAGCCATCCAGTGGATGATCTGCCGATCCATAATTTCATATATATTAAAAAAGTGATAGTTTATTATTTCATTCAATCAAATCTTGTTTATAAAATTGTATGGAAATTAATATTGTAAATAAATTCTTGTCATATTCTGTATTTAATGCAACATTATGATTATGATTTCTGTCCGGTTTGGGTTTGTTATCAAAGAAGAAATGTCCGGTAATTTTATCTTTTGGAATTTGGCAACCCTAGATTCAGCGCGCGCGCGCGCGCGCATGCGCGCTGCGGGACCCGTAATTTTATTCGCGTCGACGGCGTGCAAGCTCGGCCGAACCTTCCGAGACACTAGGGAATTTTCGCAATACCATTTCTCAGATACGGTAAAACGTAGATCGTGAATGCAATTGGTCGCGTACACGCCGACATTGGCTGCGTTCAGAAAACACAACGGTTACACAACGGTTGAGTAATTCGTCAACGTTATTGGTCTGAATGTAAGGATCTAACAGTAAGGACCAATAGTTACTAAGCGCTCAGTGAGCGCTTTGTTTTCTGAACGCAACCAATATTTCTGAGCGGATAACGTTCACGACTTACGTTTACCGTATCTGAGAGACAGCGTTGCAAAAACTCCCCATTATCACACGTGCTCTCGCCGCGTTGTTTGCGGTTATCCAGCCGGACGCGGACGGCGAGGAGTATCGATTGCCGAATTCGGAAAGATGGAATTTGCTCGCAAGGGGTTCGCAAACGACAGTCAATCGGCGCGCGCGCGATCGCAGACCGACGACGCTTCCTTACGCGCGCGCGGGCAGCGAAGAAACGTCGAAATCGAAAGCGAACGCACACGCGCCCTTTCCTTCTTCCTCCGTCCGGATTGCCTGGGCAGTTGTAATCGTCCGTCTAGTGTATCTCCTCTCCTTTGTATGTTCTTTCTCTCTCCTTCGCCTGATCAGCGCCGTCCGCATCGTGCACTTCGATTGTCCGACGATTGTGCGACGCAGAGTGTCCCGCTCTTCCGTCGCAGGATCCGTCACGCGTGCGAGAATGACCCTCCGATGTGTCCTCGCGTCCCGCCGCCGCTCTCGGATTCGCGTCCGAAGGACGAAATCGCGAGAAGGGCGCGCGTCTCCGCCGACGTCGCGTCACGCGACGGAAAGTCTCCGGTGTGTTATTAACGCTGAAGTCGCACCGCCGACGTACGTATAATTACGCTTACGTAACATCGCGTGTGTGTATTCAAACATATATATATATATATGTGTGTGTGTGTGTGTGTGTGTGTGTGTATATGTGTGTGTTTCCACACTCGCGAATTACCAATCGCTCGGCGGGCCACACGACAACCAGCTCGCGGCCTCCTTCAACTTGGCGCGACATTTTCCACCCCGTGCCCACTTTGTGTAATCGCACATCAGTCGCACCGTCGTTCTATTAGCACGGAAAGGCGCACGCTGCGGCCGCTGATTGCTGGCTGTGCGGACCGCCCTTGTACCAATTAACCGTGCAGTAACCGCCTGGTAACATTGCAGTAACCCGGAGACTCTTTACGGATGCGAGCAGCAATCGGAGGGTCGTTTCCGTGTTCCTCAGCCTGTCGTACATCCCTCTCTCTCTCTCTTTCTCTCTCTCTCTCTCTTTCTCTCTCTCTCTCTCTCTCTCTCTCTCTCGCTTTCTCGTGTGCGTATGCGTGTGTGGGCGCGAATGTCGCTTTTTACACGTATGGTAGTGCTGGGTATGTGGGCGGGGGGGGGGTGAGGGGTAAGGGATGGTCGGGGTCGAGACTGTCGGTGCGGAAAGCATGCAGTGGAGCTGAACGAGTTGGACTCGCGGCCGAAGGGCCGGAAGGACGGTCGAGGGCAGGAAGAGTGAACGGGGGCCTAGAAGTCGGACTGCGACGTGGCCAGGGCGCTCTCAGCCGTCTCCTCGCGTCGTCATAAGGGCCTCGTCACCTCGCCGCACTCGCAGTACGTCGGGTGGCCGCGACGATCCACGCGGTTGCTGATCGAGTGGTCGCTGTAACACAAAAGATGAACGAAGCGGTTAAGGTCGTGGCTCTCGTCCGGTGGCCCGCTCGGAGGATTAGATTAGATTTCTCGCGTTCAGAGCAAGCGTTAGAGATTGGATTACACTGCGGACACACGGTAGTAAAGTCTCCGGACACATCTTGTATCGATTGTACCACAGCACAAAGAGGAGCAACGCGCAAGTGCCTGTGCAGATTAGGTTACCCGCTTGGTGATTGATACATATATCGATCTAACGTGGCATACTGAGAGAGATTTGCACGATATTAAAGAAAATGAATGCCGCGAAAGAGTGAGAGAAAGAGAGAGAGAGAGAGAGGGAGAGAGAGAGAGAGAGAGAGAGAGAGAGAGAGAGAGGGAGAGAGAGAGAGAGAGAGGGAGAGAGAGAGAGAGAGAGAGAGAGAGAGAGAGAGAGAGAGAGAGAGAGAGAGAGAGAGAGAGAGAGAGAGAGAGAGCACTGAGAGAAAAGTATACGATATTTTGAACTATAATGATATATTAACTAAATTATAGCCCGAAATATCATATTTGTAGTAAGTACTACCATAATGTCGGTAATAATTACGATATAGGCATAGTATAACCAACCATATAATGTTTTTACTAAAAATTATAATAAGTTAAACTAAAATTATTGTATGGATACAAATATAAAACGGTAGGTAAAGCAACTCTTTTATATAGTCAATATTACCAGAATATTTGCTAAATGATGACAGATGTAACTATATGAATATTAAATCTCACTATATTTGTGAATGAGAAATTACCATGTATGTGGTAAAAGTAACTAAACAATTATTTCAGACAATCGTTGACTATATATTTGTGTTTATTCTACTATATTTTGCAGGTTCCACCAACTATAAAAATATGGTTGACGCCAAAATGAACTATAAAATATAGTGAGATTATAGTTTTTCATTCAACTATATTTTTCCATCAGTGAAAGAGAGAGAGAGAGAGAGAGAAGAGAGCTTTGCGTAGATAAACGATGAAGAATGCGAGAACGCGAGAAAAGAAGAAAGAGAGAGAGAGAGAGAGAGAGAGAGAGAGAGAGAGAGAGAATCGGCATCATTTCAGAAGCAAGTGTCGGTCGCGATATCGCACAGAGACTGTATGTACTTTGAGCGTAAATATGTAAATATATAGTGTAGGCAGAAAGAGACAGAGGGAGAGAGAGAGAGAGAGAGAGAGGGGGGGGGGAGAGGAGAAGGAGAGAGTCTAATAAGCTCCGTTAAAACGAATTAACGCAGATTGCAGTCTGACAAAATTGCAAAATTCGCTCAGGCTGCGTCGAATTTGTATGGTATGCACGCCGAGCGCAAACAATTCATTTCGACGTTAACTCCTTAGGGAGAGGAGAGAGGGGGGAACTTCTCTATTCCATTTGGTACAGCTTCCTTATTAAGACACTTCGTTAGACCGACGCGGATGAGGCTCTCCGCGTTCTTAGAAACGTGATCCGCCGGAGAACAAGTAACGACGGCATTTCTTATCTCTCGCGCTCATTGTCATCTTCCATAATAATTTATGCGTCGAAGTATCCACTCCGACGAGGCCTTATTAAACGCAAAAAGGATTTCGCTCGAGCGCTCAAGTCATTATACCTCCTTTCATCCCTTAATCAGGTTTCTTCCCGGAGCGTTTCCTTTGCGCGAGTGACGCGACGAGTGCGTTGATTTAAGTGAGGAATCTCGAAAAGGATTTTTAACTCTGGCTTTCGTCCCGAGCACACTCTCCCTCTCTCTCTCTCTCTCTCTCTCTCTCTCTCTCTCTCATCCAACTCGTCGTTTTTCAACAGCACCTTGCTTTGACAATCGGCGGGCGGAGACCGCGCGCGTAATGGAACGATTGGAAGAACGATGAAATACGCGGCGGCGGAATCCTCGATTGCGCGACTCCAAGCGGGCTTGCAGCTTCGTAACGGGCAAACACAATCGAGTCGTCGCACAAGTGCGTTCCTCCCGGTCGTTCTCATCGTCGACGATTTCACGCGGCGATTCTTCCACTCGCCCACAGCCAGCGGACAAGCCGCGAGAAAATACGCTCGAGCAGTGAAAGTCCCGAGCTAATCGCGGATACAAATAATAAGATTGCGCGCGCTCTCTCGTCGTCCGTTGCGTATCGATGTTCGCGGGACTCGCGGCGGGCAGAGACGGTTCGATCCTGCGTCCGCTCCTGCGCGCTTCCGTGAATCGCGTAACAAAGGTTACGCGATAACCGTATAAAGAAGCGAGCAAACGGCGCGGCCGCGCGATAGTCATATGAATTCACACGTGACGTCAATGAAGTCGCCGCCATATCTACATATGTATACACACACACACACACACACACACACACACACATACACATAGGCACATGCACACACACCGCGTCGACGATGTTCGCGGCTACGTTGCAACGTTACGTTACAATTATACCGTATTTGTTCCGTCGGGGGGAATAGCGCGTTGTTTATCGCTCGCGTCGCCCTTAATCCCTTTTAATCCCGCAGTAACGATCGAAACATCAGAAGAGCATTCTGCTCCCCCCCAATCTCCTCTTCCGGTACTCACGTCGTGTTCCGATGTTGGAAACGATTCGCCGGGTAAAACGCAGACGAGTTTCGCAGGAAAGAACGCTACGGTGCTTGAAATCGCGTCGCCGCGATATTCGCGCGTGAAATAGAACGCGTGTGCGTCTTCATGATTGATGAGGATGCTTTGCGCCGCAGACGCTTGATCCTCAGCTACCCGAGTAGAAAAATTAATAGGGCTCTGGTAAGGGCCTGATTACTTTTTTCTAACATTAATCGGATCCTCGTAGGAATAGAAAGACAAGGGTCCTACAAGATATTGTGTAACAAGTGGTTTAATGGGTCCTTATAAGGCAATATTATGAGGGCCTTATAAGGCAATATCAACAGGGCTTTATAAGGCAATATTAATGGAGCCTTATAAGGAAGTATTTTTATTATTGCTTGAGTAAAAATATTCGTTCTTTTCATTCTGAGAAATTTGGACTGTAATTTCTTTATTTCTTTATAACCTTGTTATTAGGTAAATCGGAAAGTTCCGTCCATCCAGCGGCAAGTAGCTGTAGCTAGAACTGTCGTTAACCTCTAATGTCTAAACGAAGCTTAATGGTTTGTTTTGACATCTGTCAATAACATTCGGTACATAAAGTTTTACGTTTGCATCAATAACATTGTTTTTTACCGCATCGAAAATGTCGAAATTTGAGCCAAATAAGCGTCATTTGCGCGAAGTATTAATCTTTAATGCTTCACTTGGAAGAAAACTGCAGCTGAAGCTCATCGGATGCTTGTAGAAGTTTATAGAGATAATGCTCCTTCCGATAAAATATGCAGAGAATAGTTTCGACTCTTTAAAAGTGGTGATTTTAATGTAGAGGATAAACAGCATCCTGGACGGCCAAGAGTATTCGAAGACGAAGAATTGCAGACATTGGTGGACGAAGACCCATGTCAAGCGCAAAAGCAACTTGCAGAAGCATTAAATTGTCAGCTCAATCTGTCATTTCTGATCGTTTGAAGGATTGACCTTAGGAAAAATTTACAAAGAAGGAAAATGAGTCTCATATGAACTGAAGCCAAGAGACATTAAAGGGCGAAAAATCACCTGCGAAATTCTGCTTGCTTGGCAACAAAGAAAGGGGTTTTTACATCGTATCATCACCGGGGATGAAAAATGGATTTATTTTGACAACCCCAAGCGTCGAAAAACTATTTGCGATCCCGGCCAACCCTCAACATCGACGCCAAAACGGAATATCCACGAAAAGAAGGCAATGCTCTGTATTTGGTGGGATCAGAAGAGTGTGCTGTACCATGAGCTGTTGAAAAGTGATCAGTCACAGGGGATCTCTACAGAGAGCAAATGATCCGTTTGAGCCGAGCATTGCACGAAAAACGACTAGAATATGAAACGAGACAGCATAAAGTGATTTTGCTTCATGACAACGCTCAGTCTCACGTCACAAAATCTGTCAAGGAAACATTAGAAGCACTTCGCTGGGAAGTGTTACCCCATGCGGCTTATTCACCAGACTGTGCCTCTTCCGACTACTACTTGTTTCGGTCGATGGCACACGCACTTGCTGACGAATGCTTCAATTCTTGTGAAGACGTCGAAAAATGGCGCTCTAATTGGATAGCCTCCAAAAATAAGTCATTCTTTCGCCGCGAAATTCGCTTGCTGACCGAAAGATGGAAAAACAGTCATCGCTAACGATGGACAATATTTTGATTGATGTATTTTTTCATTTTGTTTCTTAAATAAAGCCATACGTTTTGCAAAAAAACGGACGGAACTTTCCGATCGACCCAATAGCATACAAGAATTTTTTATTTTAAAAACATAGCATATTTTACAATAAAATATAGCATTCTTTACACATAAAAATCCTGCTACTGTTTTTATTAAAGTTTTTATTAAAGTTTGCTGCATTTTTCAAAACGAATACTAGAAAAATCCTTGGAAGAGACTAATGAATATGGCAATTGAAAAAACTAATAAAATTTGTTTTTAATTGCAGTATAATTAAAAAATCTTTAAAAAAACCAGATAGGGCGTACTTACTAAACAATATTAAACTACGACAATTTTATTAAACGCTTCAGATCTTATTAATTTTCTATAACAAAACTTGATCTTGTATATCTAAAGCATCCTTAAAAGATCCTTCTAAGGCCCACATCAGTTTTCCATGATAACGCGTTATTTCGTCAAATCTAAGGCATCCCAAAGAAATCCTTCTCAGCTTTCCCTATCAAAGCCTTATTTATTAGATCTAAGGCATCCCTAAAAAAATCCTTCTAAGGCCTTCATCAGTTTTTCTTATCAAAGCCTTATTTCGTAAAATCTAAGATATCCCTAAAAGATGTGGCAACAATGGAGGCATCCCTTTTTAAAACATCCTACTTTCAGCCTTATCGGGGCCTTACGCTAAGAGGATGGCCTTAACAATTTTTTGCTCGGGTAG